AATAAGCTATTTTTAATTTTAATTTAATTTACTAAATGAATAACAAAGTAATAGAAATTTCAGAACTAGCTCATTACAAGTCAAAGTTTGAAAGCCGCAGTCCATTAATACACTATGGGGCAGTATCATCGAGTGATGGACGACGCAGCGTGACGCTAGAGCACTCGTTACTAACTAATTATAGATTATCTAGACTAGACCTAGTCATTATACATGCACTAACTATTTGTTACATACCACACTGAAGCGGTAAAGCGTTAATTTTTCTAAGAAGACATTAATATTTTAATTCAGTTTTATGATCAACGAGATAGTTTGGAATTAACCGTTTGAAAGTGAAATGAAGTTTATCTTTTATCTTCTCGGAATGTAAGGAGTGAAGATTTCCGCTGGGACTTGAAAGGGGAGCTTAGAAAATTATTCAAAAAATGCAGAAGCTCATGAACGCCAACTTGAGAACGTAGAATTGTCCAGCTTCTAGACAATACGATCTTAATGAGACACAAGGATAGAATCTTTTAGAATGATATAGTGTAGGTAGGTAGTGTTATTGTTAAATATGGCTATGATCCTAGTAAGAAATAGGTATAAGAAACTTACACACATTTATACTTCTCTCATTATTGATCCCGCTGCTTCAGACGGTTTTCATTTAAGAGATGTTTTCCTATATTGTTAGCGAGAGTTACAGCAATACCGCATATTTTTACACTGAATAATTAATAGTAACGTTTAGTAGTAACTACGTGTACAAATGTATGTAATTTTGATGTCAAAGGTAAACAAGATATTGTTTAAAATGAGCATGATAAAGATATAACCCGTTGCCTTGTTACATGTTCTGAGCCTGTAAAATATTGCAGCAACAATTTTAATGACCATTTATAACCTACTTAAAAAGGAAGGAGGTTCTCATTTCAACTGTGTTTTTTTGTGCGTATGTTGCGCGATTCTTTCGACAATTTGGTGAACCGATTACGATAATTCTTTTTTGTTGGAAAGGAGTTACCTCAGTAGTGGTCCCAGTATTAAGTCAGGTCCCAAATTTGTAGAAAATATTCCACCTCCAAGGGTTGCAAATAATCAATTCCAAGAAAACTTGGCAAATAGATGTAATTCCATAAAAGTTCGATTTCATAATGTTGTAATTGATTTCATTGCGTAACTCGCTACCTAGGCTACCTTGGATAAACTCAATGTTTTTCAAACAAATCTTTATTTTAAAAATATCACTGCTAAGTACAAATCGTTTATTCCCAGTTGTTCCGCGTACTCAGTTCCACAACAACCTGAAAGAGTTGAACGGAATACTATCGTGGATTTTTGTCAAAAGTAGGTACTAAAAGCTGTTTATGTCGGACCTACATTGTTTTTCGGATAATGATTTCGGGACCTGAAAAGGGTCCGATACATTGGTTTGTTTGAATAAAACAAATATACGTAATTTAAATGTGAATAAATAGTTTTATTTCAATGTCTAAAAATCGCAAAAACTTAAGTAAACCTCGATTAATGTATAAAAGATTTTCTTTCATTATCATTATTTACAGCCCGAGCTACTCACTACGTGATGCCATCCACCACGACTATGCTTGTCCCACCCATCTATGTACGATCCCCAGTTTTGACCATGTCGCCATCTCATCTCATTCCATGACGTCGTGCGTTTCTATAAGTAATTGCTTCTTGACCATTCACTTATTGCTTTACTCTGCACGCTATCCGATTTCCCACGTTTTATGTTTCACTTTAGTTTTAATAATCGGCAAATCTTAAAGGTCAACAAGAATCTGATTTCAGAAACCTACATTGCCCCTTAATCTGAATCTGTGACTTAATGATTACAATTGTCATGAAAATAACCACAATGACGAACAAAATTACACCTTATGAGCTCCACTTAGGAGCTACTGTAAGAAAATGTCGTTCACACTTCTTTCTGCTCCCTTTCATTCAATGCTTTTTTTGAGTTTATAAAGTAACACTATTGTAATTGAGTTGAAGTAACATTGTAGATTTTTTAAATACCTGTACATATATATATTTTGTTCATGTGGTTGTTGACGATTTCTTGCGTAACAAAAGTAATTGAGCATTCAAAGTCTATAAACTTACAACGACTTTAAGATGGAGATACCCCAAAAAACTTTTACAACCGCAATCATGCGTACAATCACACGAATTTTAATGCAGCGTCTGCGCATAATGATTGCAAGGATAAATAATCCAATTTCTTGGAACTTGGAACGTGGTGTTTTAGAATAGCAACTTTTGCTCTAATGTTTTTAAACCTGCTTTGATGGTAATTTGATATTGGTTACCCATAACCAAAGTATAATGTCACAAAATCCGATAGATCGCAACATTAAAGATAATCTATCTACTGAATAACGATGGTCAAGAGTACAACTTTGGATTCTGTACATAGGCAATTGCCTAAGCGGTTAAAATGAGTGAATATCCAAGCTTACAACAATGTTAAGAATACAAAAACCATGCATGAATTCAAAGTTACGAATCAAATGGTTTTAATATCATATGAAATATTATTGGAAATACGAATAGACCAATCACAGTATTCGAAGTTTATTGCTTGGATTAAAAGTGAAAGACATTGATTAAAGAGCGGTAGGTTAGAAAAGTTTTATTATGCGACAGTGCCTAATTTAAGTAAGTGTAACCTTGGATCGGTGGATTACAGTTTGAGGAACAAGTAAGTATTTAAATTTGAAAGCTTTGTGGTAATTTTTTGTGTGGAATTGTCCTTAAAACCCCTCAAGGTATCAAGGTCCAACAAAGATCTTTGCAAACTTTTAGCCTTCAATAGGCATTGCAAGAAAAACGGTGCGCCGGCGCCGAGTGTGTAATTTGGAGCCATAAAGCGAGCGAGCGGTGATGACAGATCCATCACCCGCCTTCGCTAAAATTACCAATTTTATGACCTTAAATTACATACAATCCTATAGTCAATACATTTACAAATTCTCTTTTTACACCAATCTGACCTTAATTCCCTGATGTCAAGCATCATCTTCAGTTTTAACAGGTGGAAGATTAAATTGGTCCAAGGATCACGTCTTGAAAGACAGCTGACGTGTGGTTGATGGATCGGTTTTTGTTTGTTTGTTGCGAAATTGATCCGATTTGTGGTTCCGAGATTATGGGGACAAATCAGTAATGTACAGAAAATGAAGCTGTGATTAGGTGGTTCAAATTTTTGTGGAGTTTATTTGTAACCTTGTTCTTGCTGCAGCAAGATTCTGAGATCCGGGAAATAAACCGTGAATATCCAGATATTTGAATCAAGTCAAAATGTCATGTGCCTGAAATTGGTTCTATAGAGAATCAGAAGTATCCCTCCACCGTCTCCTGCAACCCCTATCATTGCAGAAACTTGGTTTGAAAGAAAATGTGGCGACAAAAATAAAGAAAAGTTTGTGGTTTGCGCACATGAAGTAGACTAATGAAAGTAGAATGGTGGAAGAACCTACATTAGACGGTAATATTGGAAGAATACGACAGTCCACAACAAAAGCCGTTAGCAGATAATAATAGTCGACAAAGTTCCTAAAAAAGCTAGAGTTCGTAATGACTTTGTGAGAAGTATAGAAGGATGTATATGAGAGGATCAATGAATGTAATTGAGGCAAGAGAGGTTTGATTGAGGCTAAGATAGAGCAGAGTGCCGATTGATAGTCTTGCCTATCCTACAAATTCATTGGATTCAAAGGCGTAAGTATGGGTATACATGTCCATAAAAACCTTTCTCAATCAACTGAACCTAATCCATAAAGACCAATCACCAATCACCCATACATCTCCACATAACACCCATAATCTGTCGAAGTCATCGACCTGCACACGATTAAGTTGCAATTACTGACGCAGCCTGTCATGTGTCGGCCGCGCATAAAGTGCGGAACTTACGGCGAAGTCGGATTCAAAAACGCGCATATAAAAGGATATTTTAATTATTAGTGAGGGGAATATTGACTCATTGCTGTGAGTCAATCGATGAGAACATTTTTGATATATATTTTTTCAGCCGGGCTGTGTACGAATCACGATCATCATCATCGTCAATACATTATATGTCATGCTGCTGGATACGGGTCTCCTGTAAATATTACATTAAGGTTAAGCATTTCAATTCATCATTAGCGAGAGGTATTGCATACTACGAAACATGCACAAATGCACATAAATTTGAAATTAAACTCATGCTTACTGCACATACCGCCACGGAGATTCGAACCGTCGACCTTTCAATTGAGAGCCAATCATTCTCCACTACGCTACTACCGCTTTTATATGTAAACAAATGAAAATTTTAAATATACTATAAAGATGAATGAATAAAAATAAAATTACGTATTTTATTTTATTTACTTATTTCTTTTATTTTTGATTAGGTGTCAGAAAATTAAAAAACGCGAAAAACTAAAACTCTTCTAATTACACCAACTAAAACTTCATTGATTTTAAGTACTATTTCGTATGCCAAATCGGGTAAAATATGACTATTACAATATTACTCCATCCAGCACCATACTTTGAGAAAAAAAAATCCGTTTTAAAAAATATCCAATAATATAAGTGTTTACTATAGGAAATGAAATTATTTTTTCGGATTTAAATCGTGTAGGGTAAAACTAGGTAATACGCCCCAGTTGACAAAACGCCCCACTTCAATAATATGCACATTAAGACAGCTACGAAACGCACACAACGCACACTAGTAGACAATAGTCGTCGGACAACATGGCTGGCGTCCACACGTGATTCTCGAACATCACAAGAGAAAAAATTCAAATCGAAGGTTTTGTGCATTAAAACAATTTGTGGTGAGTTTCAGCATTTTTCTCATACATTAGTTGTTTTGTATTTCTTATTGGATTGACAGGTATCATAGTAAAACACGATAAATTTACTTTGTTTTCTTATTGTACCTACAATTATAACCTTGAACGTGTCGTCTTGACGTTGGTGGGGCGTTTTAAAAATCGAAATTTACAATATGCTCCACGTGTTGTTTTATAATACGCCCCAGCATTTCAACTAAACCAAAATTACATAGTTTAGAAATTTATTACAGATAATGCCTCGAAAATACCAAAGAAGTACTCTGAGAGCGTCATGGGCGTCGGAAGACCTGGAAAAGGCTATGGAGAAAGTTCGAAATAAAGTAATGGGTGTCAATGAAGCTTCCAGAACTTTCAAAATCCCATCTCGGACACTCAGAAGGCATCTTCTATCTGGAAAATTAAAGGTTCCCCTTGGTCGCAACCCAGTATTTTCCATCGAGCATGAAAAAAAGATAGTTGCTCATATAAAAAAATTAGAACAAGTTGGATTTGCCCCAGAGAGAAAAGATGTTAAAGAGATGGCATTTCAAATAGCAAAGAAACTTGAAATAAAAAATCCATTTTTAGAAAGTTCGGCATCTGCGGGCAACACCTGGTTTATGGGATTTATGAAACGTAACCCTGAATTAAGTACGAGACAGTCAGAAGGATTATCGCTTGCTCGGGCTTATGGAGTTAATCGAGAGGACGTCAAATACTTTTTCGATTTACTAACCAAACTCTATGAAAAAAATGATTTTGCCAACCACCCTGAAGACATATATAATATGGACGAGTCTGGCATCCAAGTGAACAATAAAGCTGGCAAAGTGGTAGCCACAAAAGGAGCCAGAGACGTTTTCACGCTCACTAGCTGTGAAAAAGGGGAAAATGTCACAGTTATTGCTTGCTGCAATGCCCAAGGAAACTTTATTCCTCCAGTACTGATATACAAAGGAACATATAGTAAGCCACAGTTTTCCGAGGGACTCCCCCCTGGATCCCAAGTTTTTATGAATAAAAAGTCTTCCTACATTAATTCAGATCTTTTCATGAAGTGGTTTGAAGAAGTGTTTCTACGCCACAAAAGTCAAAGAAAGACGCTGTTGGTTTTAGATGGACACAGCTCGCACAGTAATAACATACGACTACTGGAAGTGGCCAAAGAAAACAACGTGATATTGTTGTGTCTCCCTAGTCACACAACACACGCCCTTCAACCACTAGATAGAGCATTTTTTCGTCCTCTGAAGATGTACTTTGCTCAAGAAGCAAGAGCATGGATGGTAAGAAATAAAGATAAGAAACTGACACGATATGACGTTTCAAAACTGATCGGCGGGGCTTGGGGTAAAGCTGCTACTATACGAAATGGCGTATCAGCCTTGAAGTCGTGTGGAATCTATCCCTTCAACCCTAGTGCTATTCCTGAACACTACTTCTCCTTGTCAGATTCTTTGCGAGAGCAAGATTTGGTCGAAAACGCCCCAAATGATGAAGATGATACTTTGACAGAGTCCATGTCATTGCTTGTAGGTCCTTCGGCTACACTTCCAGATTTACCCATAGCGTCACAGCAGATCAACCTTGAACTGGAGGCCGAAACTTCAAAACAACATCGTTCCGAGTACGTTTTGATGACTACTGCGTCAACACCCACATCACCCAGTGAACAAGGATCTGGTAATATTTTGGTCACCACAGCGACAATACATTCGCCGCTTCGTTGTCGCGTTCCTGAACTTGAAGCTAATTTTGAAGAACAAACAGCCAATAAAAACAAGTCAGATGATTCTACAAGTGCTATTCATTCACCGATACAAATAATGACTCTTTCTCCAGCAACCCCCAAAAAATGTCCGCAGAAGCGTCCTACTGAACCATATAGCATTGAATTAAATGACATGGATCTGATTGAACAAATAATACCTGAAAAGACCGTAACTGCCGACTCCAAAGATACGCCTTCCAAAATTTTAAGTGAAATCCATCCTGTACCGAAACTGCCATTCGTACTATCAAAAAAGAAGCAAAAAGCCGTTATTCTAACTTCTGATGAGCATATACAAAAAAGAAAATTAATTGCAGATAAAAAGAAACAGAAAGTTGAAGCTGGGAAACTAAGACAAAACACGAGCGCCAGAAAGAGAAAAGTAAATGAAAGTCATAAAAGTCGCACAAAGAAGCAAAAAACAATTGTAGAAAAAGACAGAAGTCGACAAAAAAAATTAAAGAAAGATCCTTCAAAACTACAAAAAAAAAAGAAGATAGAATACTCATCTTCATCTGATACTAACGATGAAAATATATCAGTTGTTTCAGAGGATGAAATATCCGATGAAGACACAGACAGATGTGCGGAATGCACCGAAAATTATTTTCATACGAAATCGTCAGAAGACTGGATTCAGTGTACGTCGTGTTCTGCATGGTTGCATGAGTTTTGTACCATGTATAACCCTTTATGCAATCGCTGTGGTCGAAAAGCAAAAAGAGTAACTGTCAAGAAATAGTCCTATACCTAATGTTAAATGTTTGAAGACTGATTTATCGTAGTACAAAATTAATGCCAGTAAGAAAACTGTGATTTTGAAAGAAGCATTTGCATTTTTGATTTTTTTTTTAATTTCTTTTCGTATAATATAGGTAGATTTTTAGAATTTTTAGATACAAAATAATATTAAGACTGAATTTTTGCCTTTATAAGTAGTTCATTTAGCATAAGAATAGCAAGAAAATGTGATTTTTAAACTGGGGCATTTTGTAATACTAGTGAGGCATATTAGCCAACAGTCATTTTACAAAACGCCCCACCTCATCTTTAAAAAAAATTGTCACCAAAAGGCATTTATTGGTCTGTATTACTTTAAATAATTCACAAATAGTTCCTAAAATACCAAATATTGTTCCAAAATAAAGATATTGATTGAATATCTCCAGAATTTGATTTCATTGAACTCTAAAAAAAAGTGGGGCGTATTGTCTAGTTTTACCCTATATTTGTTTTTCAACTGTGAATGGGACCTATAAAGGGCCTACCGTGACCATGGGACCTGTAGAGGGCCCGAAACGTTGATTTGTTTGAAAAAACAAATATACGCGATTTAAATCCGGAAAAATAGTTTCATTTCCTATGTGTAACAATCGCGAAAACCTAAAAAAATAAGTGTTAAGTTAAGTTAATCTTAACTAATTTCCCCGCTTAACAACAGATTGATGATTAGAATACAAAATTAATTTCAATGAAGCAACTCAATTACCCTTTTAATTCATAAGTCGAAGGAGTCAGTTCAATCGATTCCATGCACGTTCCTACTCTATAGGATCTCATATAAAAAATTATTTTTATTGTAAAGCTGGTATCGGATGCCACTGAGTGATATGGAGGGAAGGTTTAGCTTCATATTTTTCTGATATCATTTACGATTGCTTTCAGATTTTTGAATTCATTAATATTATTGTTATTCCTATCACTGTCTTAGTACTTCTTTCTTTCTTTTCAGCGATTTCGCTAAAGTTTTCGGCTTCAAAAACATGCAATTAAATTAAAAAATTCAATTAGAAAAGTATTATAGGAAATGAAACCATTTTGTTTTTGGATCTTCGCGTTTATTTGTTTTTTTCCAACAAACCTACGTTTCGGGCCCTTTACGAGTTTCATGGCCACGGCTGACCGAGATGGTATATTCATCAAGTTCTTTGGAATATTAAAAATAAGGTATTTAATAATGGTTTCTGTAACTGTGATATTGAAAAGTAGGTGGTTTGCGTTAATATTAGATATCGGTAACGTTTCTATATGTAAAAATCGCGAAAACCTAAGGACTCGATAAAAGGTATTACCAATTCTTTTTAAGGTCTGTATACATAGATCTATTTGTAATTAAAGAGGATGATTCAATTTTCATCTTTTTTAACGTGAGCTCATTGTCGATTATATTATTTTGTGTAGAAAACTGTAATAAAATTAACCAATATTACAAGTTGCTAATTTTTTAATCAATATTTTATTCACCATCATCATCTACTGCCAGAATTCACTTACTGCTGGATATAGGTCTCTTGTTGTTTTGACGACCTCCGCGGTCGTATACCGGTTGCATATCGGTTTTCATGGTGTCGCCATCTCTGAGGGTTTGTTCTCCGGCCGTGTCAATATAGAAAACTAACTTTTGTACATCGTCGGTTTTTTGAAAGGGCGAAAGCACCATTTCGGAAGATTTTTCAAGGGATCATATTTTAATTTTTAACTACAGTTTTGAAATATTTACGTCCTGTTTAAAATTCAACTTTAAAACTTATACTTTAAAACCACAATTGAATTTTAAAAGAGGACGTAAATAGGTGGGCAAGATCAAAAGTGTAGTGCCAACCACTACAATTTTGAGCTTGCCCGCCTCCTTACGGCTCGCGGTTTTGAAGACATAGACTTATCTCGCTTTTTTATTATACAAGTAACGGGGCATGCAGGTAGTGCGCCTGGTGGTAAGCGATACGCTTGTCAATAAGAAGTACAGTGTCGCTTAAAGCTTTATATAGCAAAGATCTGAGGGGCACTGCAGTGACAGTCACCCGTCCCCCTGAGACATATGTTGACAAGTCCCGTGTGCTTGCAATTTCACCAGCACACTTATCTACCCTTTAAAACCTCCTCTGCCTCCGTGGCCGAGCGGTTACCATGCCGGATTGCCATGCAATTCGATTCCCGGGCCGGTAGATATATTTCTATGGCCTATATTTATTTATCTCGTGAGTTTGAGTGTAATTTGTAGTTGTCTATGTGTGTGTCTATGGCATCGACGCAGGGTTTCCCTAGTGCTAGGGGCTACGTTGAGTGTGTAAAAAAATAATAATACTGCTTGGCGGCAGAAATAGGTACCTACTTGGACGAGGGAAGAGAGGTACTTCGCAAGGAGATCCATTGCTACTTCTTGTTTGCTGCTGAATCACACGTTTCTGTCACTGTTTCTGCCACTCTCTCTCCATCTCATCACGACCCCTCGCATTATGTTCTGCCTTGCTTTTAGCCTACTTATGTCACTATTATTTTAAACCTCGTAAATGGCAGATTTGGTATATCAAGAGGAATCTTATTGTATAAGCGTCTACATTGTCCGTTATGACTGTCTTGATTATTTTTTATTAAAGATTGGAATATTACAACATAATAGATACTAGAACAACAATAGCAGGTAAATGTTGTAATGTGTTACTGTTGTGACTTTTAATAATAAAAAATATATATAGGCTACTATGTCAATATTCGAATTAGAAGCTTCTATAACATAAATACGCAAACATCTTCGCCTGCACCCCGGTCCACCTGGCAAAACTTAGAATACGGGATAATTCGATCTGAGAATGTGGCCTGGATGATGGCACCCCAGACCATATATTTTTCAGCTGCCCTGTCAGATTATGTCCTATTTATGATAGTCTTCCACATTCGAAAAATTTTCACTTTCTGTTATTTGTTTTTACAAATCCCCTCTTAAATTGTATTAGTATTAACAAATTTAAATTGTAAAACTTATTTATTTAAATATCTTTAATGGCGATGGTATATCGTGCTGTTTTGTATTGTTCCAGAAACCGGAATAGACTAAAGAGCTGTGTTAATTAATTAAACATTAAAAAAAGTGTAACTCCCTGACTGACTTAGACATTGGTAACATTCTTCAAGAGAAGCCAGAAACTTAAGAATAGAACAAAAAAATTCCTTCAAAACTATAAAAACAATAGCAAACAGTTATCTGTTGATAACATCCTAGACAGGTAAAGAAACTTACATAGAGTTGAGATAAAACGAAAAAAAAAACCGTTCCACCATATTAAGGGGAGTTCCTCCTTTTTAGCACAGTTGTTTTCCGATGTCTTGGACCTAAGTTCCGTTTCGTATTTCGGAATTCAGAACGCAACTGTAGCCTTCGGGTTTTACATTATACGGTCCCTTCCGCGGTTTTTTTTTAAATACCAAGTGATGCTCACATCACTGCTTGGCGGAAGAAATAACTAAGATGGCAGTAATTCCCTGGACGCACTCTTTCACAAGGAGCTGTAGGTACTGCTATTGAACAACAAATATATATATATATATATATATATACACATAGGTATTAGGTAGTCATACAACAATAGGCCGAGAAAAATACGTCACTTAACCCGTTCATGAACAGCAACAGCTTTTATCGTAAAAGTAAATATTAAAACATGATAGTACCCTCGGAGTACCCCGTTTTACTGTATGGATCACAAATAACCAACTACAGGGTTTACTGTACGATTTTGCAAGTGCTTTATATGTAGGTACGTTGCCGGTTACTGCTTTTCCATAGATAAGTATCAACAATGTACATCAGTAGATAAAAAACAGTAATTTACATAGATACGTTGCACGTTGTATATTAAAAAATTAAATATGCGGATATTTTTGTGTGTGGTAATGGTTCGGTAAGTGAGAATTGTCTATGTCATGCTTAATAAACGACCTAGCGTTCAATAAAGGTCTATGTGCAAAAATGGCGTTTTACGGGGGTCGTAAAAAGTGCTCACGGGTCGTAAGACACGGCGACGAGCAGCTTCAAATATTATTACGTGTCTGAGTGACATCCGAAACTTAGTCACTTTGTAACGTCATACATTTACGTCTCTGTAAATTAAGTTACGAATGACATTATAAACTTCTTTTGCTTCCTCCACTGATTTCAGTCTTTGTAAACGCTCGTTTGTTTTTGATACTTTTGACTGTGTCTTTATAAAAACACCCTTAATCTGGCCAAGGTTGACCTTTCCCAACATTGCTCTCCGCGCTTGCTTTTTAAATTTATGCGTAACATAAAATAGGACAATGATCGATTCATAAAAAAATGGATTTTAATCTAGATTCTTGATAGAATCAATAGAAAAATAATGAAAAATCGATTTCTTAACATTTTTTGTCCTTCAAGACAGGCTAAGGCGTCTAATTGGCCATACCGCCATATTTTAGTTTCTTTATTTCTATCAAATAAAGAAATAATTATATAATAGTAAGTCATAAGTGCACATATATAAATCAACATAACGAATGAAACTAAACATAATTGAATTAAACTAACAATGTCAAGTGTTTACAGGAAAATGTCAATGTAGATTCTTAATAACTAATAATATTTAATTATAATAATACGGTGAATGTCAAATCCATTAATATCTAAATTTAAAAATTTAATTATTTATTAAGTACTGTGTTACTGAGTAAAGGGACTTTTCCAATAAAAGGTTCTTAAGTTAGATTGTAATTTTTCTTCAATAGTTTAATTTTCTGTCATTTTTTCCGCCATTTTGAATCTCTCGTCACTAAAAAACATCTTATGTATTTTGATTGTTTTCATTGTCTGTTCTAAACGCCTTATACTTTTGTTATCAGGCGAACAAGTCGTGCGCCTGATGGCTGCAGTGCCACTCAGAGCTTTAAATCGCAAAGATCTGAGGGGCACTGCCACTGCGCACGTCACCCTGAGACATAAGTCGAAAAGTCCCATGTGCCTGTAATGTCACCAGCACCCCGCTTTGCGGCAGAAACAGGCAAGGTGGCAGTACTTCCCCGGACGAACTCTTTCACAGAGAGCTCTACAGCTATTACGTACTAATAATACTTTGTTTAATTAATTGCGAATATGCTTATTTTACTTTTTCATTCTAATATTGCGGCATACTCGTGACGTAAAACGTTAATAACGAGAAATTAATGAACAAATTCCAAGTAGTAAAGGAAATTACGAAGTAATACACATTTAACAACATTTGCATGAGCTTTTTCAACCGTTTGCCCTAATAGGCTGCCGGCTGTTAATTTAACTCTTATCTCATTATTGCAAAAACTACTTGAAAACGTTAGAGTTTAATTTTAATGTCGGTAAAATAACTAATCACAAATTCAAAACAAACGTACTTAAATACAATAGTCGAAACGAAAGTGAGTTACGCGGGAAAAAAGGTAAAAAGCGGGAGGTGCGGTGGGCGGGGGGCGGGGCCAGTGACGCCGCCCCGCGCGTGCGAGCGAGACCGCGATACTGCACGCCGCTGCACACCGCTGCAAGGTCACGGCATCCGCCGCCTGCTCTATCGCGCCTTTACTTTTTGCAGTGTTCTGGAATCAATTTCTGTTTTTAAGTTGCCGAATATTTTTTGAGAAAAATAAATGAAATTGTGTTATGATTATTTTGTTCTCGTCAATCTTTTGTTTACACTACTTCGAAATCAAATACAAGGTTTATAATATAAGCTTTAATGATTGCCGTCTCTACAACATGCGTACAGATTTTTACTTTTAACATTTTTTCTTGAACACACCAAACTTTTCATTATTTTCGCACTTCGAGCACACCCCTAAAAGTATTTGCAGCGGAAAGTTTGTTTTCCATAAATGCAAAAACAAAAAAACAAAAGACTCATGAGGCAAAACACCCTGTAATAATTTTGAACATCCGAGCATCGAGTAAAAAACAAAATAAAATCGTGTTGCATTGCAAAAAATGAATGCACCTTATCACGACCGACGTTTGATTGAGTGGTGTAGTACAGCGAGCGGCCGTTGGCGCTGGCGTAGCCGTCTCGCTCGCGGCGCGTCATTCCGGCCGCGGCGCGCAACGCGACCACGCCACCCGTGTTGTTCCGCGTCGCTCCGATTCACGCGCGCGATACGACCTCGCAAAACCGCCACCGGTTCACGTGCCAGTGCCAAAAATTAAAAAAGTGCCCGCACAACTCACCCCAAAGTGCTTTCAGTGTAGTGACCCAATAGTACAACAAAATAACATAGGTACTTGTGGTACGTGAAATATCATATTCGCTTCGAGAAACCGTCGCGGCCCATCTGTTCAAATACGGTTGATTTGTTTAAGTTTCCTATTGATGGATTGGAAGGTTCGACGACATCTTACATGGTGTTTGATGTGCTAAGGAATTCGTTTCACGTATGTAGAAAACAAACAGAAGTTTGGAAAACAAAGGATACCCGAGGAGCTTTGGAGTGGTACTGCTTGCTTAGGTGCTCGTGGTGACAGGTGGAACGGAGTCTATAACGCTGTCGACACATAGAAATATTTGTTGGGCGAGAGGTGAGCATAAATTAAGAAAAACCAACATCACGTACGAAATTCTTGGAAATATTTACACGTTATGTGTATTTTTAATTACTTTTTGTTTGTTCTATTGTTTTCTTAGGGTTTTTTTAGTGTAATGGTGAGTTATTTAGTGAGTTGATGTTAAATTGGGAGAGTTTATGGAGTGTTTACAAGTTTGCAAGCGTGATAGGTTCGGAAAACTTTGGGAACGGTGGCTGTAAATTTAGTGAGCTATCGGAGACGGCCGGTGCCGGTACTGTGCGCTCGCCGCGACACGAAAAAGGAATGAATAACGAATTTTCCACATTAAATCTAGTTAAACCTTTTAAAGTATTAATACAGAGAGAATTAATCAGACGAGTATAAATGTCTATTCTAACATTTAGAAAACAAATTTCTAAAACTTATATTACTAATATCAAATGCAAAAAATATGAATGAATACTAATTAAATATTACTGCCTCACATAAATAATTTATTTAATACTTTATTATTTATTTATTTATGTTAAAGTTAATGTGTTCAAATACTGAATAAATTTTAATAAGCTAATTGATAGTCGTATGTAAAAATTTTTATTAAAATAGAATATAATTTATCGTGTGTCCTTGATTAGTGTAACTTTTGAATAAAAGTCTTACGAGTACTGTGAACTATTATACAAATTATTAAGTAAACAACTGGCTAATTATGATATTTTTCATTTACTTTACATTTACGTAATTTTAACAATGAGTAAATAATGTAAAAATTAGCTTAATGAAAAGAATAACGACTGTTAAAGTAATTTATAAAATTATAACGGAATATTTCTTAAAAAAAATGTAAATTTATCTCCTACACACACCCTTTGCAAAATATATTAAGAATGCAATAAAAAGAAACAAAGAATTGCGTAACAAAAACTTTAAGCTGTCACAACTAAGTATGTAAAAGCGAAGGATTTTTCGATCCGCCATCTTTATTTTTGTAAAGCTGTGCAGTCGTCATTCGGAAGGACTCGCGTGCCCCCCGTCTGCCGCGCGTCTAGGGAGGGGCGGGGCGAGAGAGAGGGATGGCACTTATAAACATTACACCAGGTTTTGAATTACCATATCAAGTATTCCAATTTTGAGTCGATCTATTCGCTTAATTAAATAAATACAATAAAATTATTTACTTACACATTTTGAAAAATGTCTCTTTATGCACCTCGTGCTTTGTAGTTTCGTTCATTTTCATAATTCAATATGCATAATTATATAGCTGTTTTTGTGTTCCGTATATTAGGTACAATTGGACGTAGTTACACAGAAAGGATCCAATGCACATCCAGTCACTTTCGAGATATGGCAGTTTGACGTTGAAAAGTGTTTCTCACTGTTGTTTTATTTTCAAAACTTATAATGTCATGTAACTCCAGAGATATTTATTTATGTTTATATGTTGGATTTTTTTGCTGATCTAAGAGACTACACTTTAGGAACCGTTTAATACATATGACTCATGTTTTGATAATTTTGTGGATTGGACCTTTTTGCTTAACTACGTCCAATTAAAAAGTGTTGTTCATTTTTATCTCTTACGTTTGTGCAAAAACAAATGTGATTTTGACTAACTTCATCATCGTCATCATTTATACGTTCCACTGCTGGGCACGGGTCTCCTCTCAGGCGAGGGGCTAAAACTATTAGGCTGCAACGAATTTTTCGAGTAACTTGCAAGTAGGCAGGTAATTGCAGTGAATGTTAAATTTATGAGCTCACAAGACTGCATTGTTATTTTAATTTGGGTTCATTATGAAAATGTAATGTAGATATCTGTGTGTGTTATGTAGATATTATTTCAAAATCCTTGATTTTAATTATAAGTCTTTAATACGAATTTATTTGATTAAAGAACAAAATCCCTGTAATTATATTTAATTTAAATTATACTAATCAGAGCCGAAACTAAAAGCAAGGCTAACATAGTGCAAATGTGGTGTAATAAATTGTTACGCGATTGCTAATAAAAAAAATAGACATACGAATCAAAACTTATTAGTTCATAGGTATAACTATCATAAGCATTTATAAAATTATGATAAGTTTTATTACTACTATTTATTATTACAACAAATAACTAAATGTAATAATAAGCAGCGACATGCCGAAGGTGCGAATGGTAATACAGCAGATGTCGCGTCACATGTTGTCAATAAATTTCGGACGCCATCTTGTTTTTATGAGATACTGTGGTGAGGTTTAAAATAAAAAAAAAACAATATGAATTTAAAAAATGAATTATGTTGTACAAATGTATTTGATATTATTTATTACAATTATTTTAATTAATAGAGAGAGACGCAAATCAAAATAAAGCAGACTCCTATGAGCACGATTCAATTAAGCTCAAATTAATAAATTCAGTGTTTACGAGTAAAGTTAGGCGAAACCTGTATTTATTGTTATAGTTCTTAATAATTGAAAAGTTTTACGAGTTTGCAAGTAAATTGTAATTGAAGGAAAAAACAAGAAAAATAATTTTCACGTAATTTCTCAGGGTGAATTCACGTGTAAAATTTTATTAGTTATAATATTTTAAGACATAATTTAACTATAATTATAATTCACAATAGTGGAGACTGATGGACGAGGGACAATTGACAATGTATTTATTAAAAAAAATATTAAAAAAGTTTTATAATTGAGTTTTCAATTGTATGTGTAATTTTTCTCATTCAAATCTGATTAAAAATTCCATATTAAAATATGATAAGTATAGTTTTTCTTTAACACAAGTAGGTAATATCAAGATATAAAAATCCGCAAGTGTTCGATGGTGAAAATAAATAATACCAACGTGACATATGTGAAATCATAGGTTGGGATCAATAACACATTTACAGGATTTATGTCCGGCAGATGTATAATTTTCTTTTCACTATATTTAAACTAACCTCTTGGTCTCTCTCAGCCTTTTAGGCGGTAGATGGGACAGATAAAAATTCCCATAAATTTGAATACAAAAAAACGGACAGCGTAATTGTCGGACAAAACAAATGGTTGAGAATCACACACTCGTCGATATTCCACCGAAGCGTGACTGATTTAATGACATAAACTGGCAATTAGCAAACAAGATGGCCGCCAGCGCCCGCGCAGCCAATGTCAATAACGCTACAAATCATCCGCCATATTTATTCCCACTAGTTCATATGTGTGATTCCTACAACTGGTTTTTTTTTACGGCTACAAAATTGAGTGATCGCTGACGGCCGTGGTTTCAATCATTCCCTTTTAGAGTTATTTTCGAAATAAATTTTTATATGGTTTTTGACCTGAGCTTTTAGGCAAGATTATTTGTCCGCACATTAAACACAATATGAGGCACTTAACAAAATATTAACAGACAGAATAACACCTAATAAAAACCAGGATGTGGGTAAAACAGTTTTTAAGTCAATGCCGAACTAATAAATAGCTGCAGTTGTCAATAACTGACGCCAGAAAAACAAGAAAGAGACGGTAGAACGTATCACAGTCATTATTACACTTTATCATCAAATTATTCAAATCTAATTCTTGACTTGATTCGAATTATCCAAGACGCCTAAGAACACCGTCCACATTTTACGAGGCCAATAACCCATTATATTTGTATTTCGATTCGTTTTAAATTTGCTTTGGGTTATAATAAGTTTTGTGATCGAGTATTAATTAACAAATATTTGATGTAAATTATTCGGTCAATATTTGGGCTGTTGCCAAGAGTTCGCTCTCAACTATTTGTAATGATCTTTCTGGAGACTACCTATTTAAATGATGCGATGTCATATTATCATTAATTACCATTACACGAATAATGGTAGAATTTTCCATCGCTGGAATATTTTAAGTCATGACTGTTAGTGTCTGTGTCTCTAAATCATTCACTAAAACATTTTCTATATTAAAATATTGGCACTAGATCATAATGTGCCCGTCCACACATCCGAAAGTGATAAAATTGCCAATTTTCAAAATATTTAAATAACACAACATCTGTTGTTCATAAATTTGTCACTTTTATACGACACCGATATCACTTCATTCCATCAGCGGGCACTCCGGCGCTCGGTCTGTATACAATCAGATAATTCGACTAATATCTAATTAATGTGTTCCCATAAACGCTATCAGTCGTCCATTACAGATCGACGGTTTTGTCCATCGGCTGACATTTTGGAAAAACACGATTTATACAAATGCGGCGGTCGTGTCGGTCACAGCTTAAACGTCTCTTTTTGTCTTAGCCCACAATGTCCGTCAGACAATAATTTACATAAATACAACATTAAACTTGAGTTAATTGACACATTTCACGATTTATACGATACGTTACAAAGAGGTGAAATCACTTGGAATTTTTAGAACCTGAGGTTCCAAGATATCGTTACTTAGAAACATGTTTCGTGGGACAATAAATTTGGATTGTGGCTTGTCAAACGTATTGATGGTCCGTTCTCGAATTATATTAAACTTTTTTCCATATTGTATGACTGAGCTAGGTTTGATATGAAACTGGTCGCGCGTAACGTATTCAAATGACTTAACGGCTTAGTAAATACTATTGTTAGTTCCGTTTCGGACACATAAAAACAGAGTTAAACCTCTGGATTACTTGAAGATTAAAATTATTTAAGGAAAATTATTATCAAAGTTGAAAAATATAAAACTCATCAGATGGCGCAAATGAAATACCTTAACAATTTTGGATCACGTTTGATCAAAATTAGATCAAATCTTCAAAACTGGTTATGTAATCAGAACAAAAGAAATCTGTTCAATCAAAGTAAATAAAGCAATAAAGAATCCGAAGAAAAAAGGAATCATGAATGTGGTAACACCGGTGCGCAATTGTTGATGGCAAACAAAAACATGGCCGCCGATTTACATCTGCGTACATCACAATCGTCTCGCTTTAAAAATTAACACTCAGCATAAGATTTCAAAGGAATAAGTACCAAAATTTGATCCGAATAGATATTTTC